AGACAGAAAGAGAGAGAGAGAGAGAGAGAGAGAGAGAGAGAGAGAGAGAGAGAGAGAGAGATGATGCAGACAGAGAAAGACTACTCCAACGAGTGCAGGGATGGTGGGAAAGACTTATCAGACGCGCCGAATGAATTTACGAGTCAAAGCTCGGAAAGCGCAATGATTTTCTTATCTGTGCTAGAGATGGCAGCACCATCGCTGACATCGTCTGCTTCGGCGGCGGCGGCGGCGGCCGCATCATCGCTGTACACAAGCCGCCTCCGTCTGCGGTGCGTGCGCACGTACAACTTCGCTTCGTCTTCGCTTAGATCGTCGATGTTGTCTTCGCCGATGAACCGGCAGGTGTCTCTCTTCTTCTTTCCTGACGACGCTCGTCTCTGTGGCGAGGAGAGCTTCGGAAAGATCGGGCGCTGGTTGTCGCTCGTCTTCTGCTCGATGACGTCATCGTCGGCGGCGACGTCGCCGTCGTGCGCGGCGCTGTCGTCGACTAATTGGAAGTACTTCGGATCGTTCACACTCATCATCAGCTGCCTGTTGTTGGTGAGTAATGCGAGTTCTCGTCGTGTGATCATCCTTACACCCGGTGATTTCTCCGAGGATAGCGACGGCACGAAGTCGGGCGCGTTGGCGTCTAGGCTTCGCTTCGACGTCGGCGTGCTGAAGAAGCGAACCTTCTGCGCCAACATCAGATGGTCGGGAGAGAACGCGCCGTACGGTGCATCCTGCTGCTCCGCACAACATTTCTGCATGTCGACCGGCGTTGCCGCGGCAACGATCGCCGAATCCTCACCGGAGACAGTCGGCTTCGCGGCGCCGCCAGAGCGAGACACCGTCGCTGTTTTCGGCGCGGACTTCGCGTCGACGTCGCTTCCGCTGCGCAGCTGAATGTTTATGAGGTTCGACAGCGTCGCGCAGTGCGGACGCAGGTTGTTTAACTTGTTAATCATGTTGATCGGCTGCCCGGGCGCGTGCTGCAGTGACGTCACGCCTTCGCTAGGCTCCGTGCGCCAGTAACCGGGCGCGTGCAGGCGTTGGTTGGCCACGCCCACAGCGTCCTGCTCCCAGACGGGCTCCACACCGGCGTTGCCTAGGAAACCACCGAACTGGTTGCCGCTGCTGTTGTTGTTCACCGGAATCAATGGCTTCTGTGGGAAGGTTGCCGACGGTTGTGCGGGTAGAGGCACGGGTCGCAGCAGGGCCGGTGCGGGAAGGTGAGACGATGGAATGAATGCCGGAGGTTGGATCAGCCGTATCTGCGGCGCGCTGATGACAGGTGGCGCTGGTGGCGGTGGGAAGCCGCGCGGCTGAGGCTGGCCGCTCAGAAAGCTTTCGTACGGCTGGCTGGGCCAGTTATGAGAGCATCTAGAGAAGAGATAATATTGCGTGGGTTACGCTGATCTTTCTCTCTCTCTCTCTCTCTCCCTCTCTCTCTTTCTCTCTCTCTCTCTTCTCTCCTACTCACACGCACACACCACACACTTAACAACAAATACACACACAAACACAACCACTACAGCACACAACATCAAACCAACACACAAACACCACAGACACACACAACACACACACACAAACATATCGGGCACACACACACGGACATGTAATAATAATTATTGCCATTAGCCCAGTAGTAAGCTGTGTGTATATATATATATATATGTGAATATAATCAGGAATCCATTAAGTATTAATATTTCTAATGCCTTATTAATATTTTATGGATTTCCGATAGCCGTCACATAGTGGCAATATAGACGCGGTTTACACAGACGGCTGTATAGTATTTGCTTGTTGGTCATCAAACACTAGATATAACTATATATACACTACAAATTAATGGGATAAAACAATATACACAGCCGGCTGTTTACACGGAACGCTGTCGTATTTGATTGCAGTTCATCAAACATTAGATATAACTATATATATATACGAAGAAGACTGAATAAATATAAATAAATACTAAATAAATAAATACTCTACTAGTTCTGCTTCCGTAACTCACCCGCTCGGCACGTACAACTGCTGGGGTTGCGCTGGCGGCGGTGGCGCTGTCAGCTGCGACGGCCATGACGGTACTGGAGGCGGGGTCGGTCGCGGGCCCAGGTTCTGCTGCACAGGGTACGGCTGAGTGCCGCCATGATGGGGGTAGGTTTGTGGCGGCATGGTCTGTGAGCTCTGGTGGGGGTAGCACTGCTTGGTAGGCCTTCCTGACGCCGAGGGCATATTCTGAAAGATAGGCACTCACACACTGCAGCTAACTTTGTGAAGTGGGACAGTGGATTGGTAATGCTCATTATTTGTAGAGTAGGCCAATAAGGGAATTTAAACCCCATCGAGTTAAACATGGAAAAACATTAGTTTGATGAAAACAAAGGTTGACTAACGCTAGCAAAAATACATTGAATGTGTAGAGATTTATAAAGCCACACTCCTTTAGTATTATGTTATTCCTCACATGTAAATTTCTACCTAGATTATTCCAAAGTTAACAAGCGCAAAACTATACGTTCTTGACAACGTCTTCTACTGTTTATTTCGCAGCACGACCCCGATGAAACGTGAGCTTACCTGAATCGGCGGACATGGACCGCTAGGTTGCCGGAGCTGCGGTTGCCACTTTATCTGCGCAGGCGCCGAGCACGTGCTCGGAAGCCACTGCGGCGGCGGAAGTGAGAACGCTTGGCTGTTGGGTCGGTTGCCCTGCCAACACGGCGCCGCAGTGTTGGACGCGCTCACGGACGACTGCCAGGGGGCGCTGCTAAGTGCAGGCGGTGCTTGGCACGCACCCCACGGCGTGAATCCGCTTGCAGCTGTCTCGCACGACGATGCGTTCCAGTTTCCCGGACGCTGCGCTCCGTAGTTGAGCGCGTTGCTTTGGTATGGTACGCGCGACAATTCAGCCGAGTTCGCCTGTCGTGGATTGTTCAATATCTGAACAGAGCTTGCCGGCTCCTGTCGCCAGAATTTCGGCACGGGTGGTCCGGTCACCTGTGTCATGCCGGTGGCCAAAGCGTTGGGCTTGGTTTGCCAATGCGGTCTACTTGGTAACTGTTGTTGGGGCTTTCTGCTCTTGGGTTCCTCCTTAATCGGGGAAAAATCGGAGGATCTTGCGAAAAAAATGCAAAGAAATAGGAATGGATTAGCAAAACATTCGTATAAATGTCTGCGACTTTTACTTTCTAGTGTAAGTGGACCGACAGTGGTGAACAATAAGATACTAAGGATAAAATTTTTAACAGGATTGGTTTAATATTTATAAAAGCCAACGACTGCGACTTTCTCTGGTTATCGGCGAGCACAAAGCGCGTGAACATATATACCTGTAAAGGTCAGTATCCGATGCGGACTTGCGTTGTACGCTCACGACTCCAGCCGTTTCATGGTGCTCCTCTTTGACGCCTTTATTGATGATCGCTTCGTGGACAGATGGGGTTTCTCGTCTGTGAAGTGCCGACTCTCGATGCTTCGTAATCGTCACTGGAATCGCGAACTCAGTGCGGCTCGCGGCAATCGTACGCAGCGATGTTGATCGGGTGGCATCATCCGACGAACTTTTCTCTATCTTTTTCGACGAGGAATCGCGCGCTGTTGCTTGCGGCACGCAAGGCTTGGCCAACGTTCTTATCTCAGTGTCGCGTTTGTTTGACACTAGTTGCGTACCGCCATCCGAATCAAACAAAGTGCCCGTTGAAGCATCTAAATCCAAGCGACTGACTTCAGAAACGCTTTTGCTTTTTTCGTATTTTGTTGCCTTGTGCATGAACGCACTCTGAGTGTCTTGTCCGGGGAATCGTGGCGAGGTATTCCAATCATCCTGAAAAATCAAGTCTGGTGTTATGCAAAGTGTACAGCCCGGCGCACACGTGAGTTATTTTACTCAAGTAAAATGACGCATGAGTCATTTTACTCACGTGTGCGGCGGATTTTTGTGTGCGTGTGCGTGTGCGTGTGCGTGTGCGTGTGCGTGTGCGTGTGCGTGTGCGTGTGTGTGTATATATATATATCTACGCACCACGACTCTCACAGTACTTGCTCTCAGTTCTCACGCGCGGCTCCGCCCTGCTGCTGCGACGATTGACTCAATCACACGATGAAGTCTTGCTCCCACTATGCACGCACGATGTCAGGCTCTGCTATCCGGCCATGCTGTCACAATGACGACGTCGGCACACAGCGGTGATGCTCCCCCTGTAATGTGCGCGGCCAGCTCTCGCCAACACACATCGCAAAGCCTGCGCGCGCATGCGCCGCTCGAAGGGGAGGGGGGGGCAATCACGCAGCTTCCATTGGCGAGCGGACGGCTCGTCGTGTCAACACGTCTAAATAAGGCAGCGAGCGCGTAAGTGCTGCGGGAAATTCCAGAATGTATATATGCATGCTATAACGAACGACAACACGTACAGCACGTAATGTAGACGTGAATATGCGGCGTTTCAGCTGTATTATCGGCGGAATTTAATACGTGGCCTAGTTCCAGGTATATCCGTTAGGATGCGCATTAATTTACAGGTACGTATGTCTACATATGCCTGCAATATAGATGTATCTATATTGCAGGCATATGTACTCATATATGTACATTACATCAAGAGCGTATTAAGACCTTCTTAATACGCGCTTAAGACGTAAATCTTTAATTACTTTAATATAGGTCTTAATATAATTTAGGTCTTATAATTTAATATAGGTCTTAATATAATTTAGGTCTTATAATTTAATATAGGTATTTATTAAGACCTTCTTAATACGCGCTTTATTACGCGTGATAAGACCTTCTTAATACTCGCTTGATTACCTGTAGCAATTGTGCTAAATTTAATTCATGACATGCTATTAATATATATTGGGAATCATGAATGAGTAAGGGTAAAAATAGAAATCCATAGAATTACAACCGTACCTTAATAGCAGCATCATTATATTATAAAAGAGAAGCAAATTAACAGCTAAGATTGACAGTAATTTTATGTACATACAAACGTATTCGTAAAACATGTTTCACATTAATACATAGAGTCAAAGAGCCTATATAGGCTCTTTAATATAGTTACTTAGTTTAGCCATATTTTAATAGTAAAATGCCTGAATAACACACAGGAACTTTCATTTGAAAGTTGTCATAGTTTGGAGGACGAAGAGTAGCAATTAATGTAACAAAATAGTGAACTGATAAAATACAAAATATTATTGTATATTAATTATTTAATAATATTCTTAAATACTATTAATCTAAATTTTCAACTAGCGTAATTAAAGAGTTTAATATTAAAATGCCATAATAGCCTAACTAAAATGCGCCAACATCGATCAAAAATATACGATTATTTAACGAATCTAAGAACTATCTGTACGTTTCTTATTAACAATTTAACATATTAAACAGTTATCATTTCAAAGCCATATGTACGCAATATCAATTCAAAATTTACGCAGCACATTTGTTTTACAAAAATTATATAGTTTATCTATCTATTATAGTTCATCTATAATTCTAAGTATGTCAAGAAAGAGAGAGTGCGCGCACGAGAGAGTGTGGGACAAAAAGACAGCGAGCATGTGATAAAGTGAGAGAGACACACACAGAGAGAGAGAGAGAGAGAGAGAGAGAGAGAGAGAGAGAGAGAGAGAGAGAGAGAGAGAGAGGGAGAGAGAGAGAGAGATAGAGAGGGCGGCCTTTT